CCTCTTGTCTCCAACACGAGGATAACAGATTCCGTTTACCATACTCAGCTTTCATGTGGATTCTGAGGATTTGAACTCAGGCTCCCATGTTGTGAAGCATGTACTTTACCCGGCGAGCCATTCTGCCCATCCTTCACAAGCTACGTTTTTAGTATAAAAATATCTTTCCTTTTTAAGAACATTATATTAAGTTTTTCTTTCTTTCTCTATATTATAATATCCTTAATTAGAGAAATAAACTGTTGGCGAATACATTTCCCTTTAAGTTCTCTTGAGTTTTTTTTTTTTTAATTTGTTTTGTTTTCTTTTGTTTTGTTTTAAACTGGTTCATGGGAACAACCGGTTCATTAGGAATACACACTTCACTTCATCCTTTCTCTCAAAGTTAATGACGATCCTTTTACAATCTGGGCTGGATTTTAAACCAGAAATGCAGAAGTCAGCAGCAAGACTTTCAAGAACTCAGTCTAGGGTAGACGGGTAAAGTGTCATGTTTTATTTTACCAAACAAAACTGCAAGTCCTAAGAGGTGAGGTGGAGACAACTGAGGCAAAGCCAGGGCATGTCGGATGCCATCCTGGCAAAGCAGTGAAAGGGCCACTCTCAGCACAAACTCTCCTCCACAGAAAGCACAACTCAGATGAAAACTTCAACTAGCACATGCTTCCTTCCGGCTCCCCACTATTGCTGCAGCATGAAAGACGAGTAAGAGATTGCAATCTGCAGTGAGTCAGCCTAAGAGGAAGGCCCCAGAGATGCAATAATGGCTCATGGCAAGGAAAAGGGAAGTGGGCAGTCCATCTCATCCAGTGCCCACCACGAGGAAGGTAGATGGCTTTGAGCCAAGCAAGGTCCCTCAGCCTTATACCAGCAGGGAGTGGAAGGCCATGCATAGGCTAGGCTAGGGAGAAAGCTGAAAGAGATGAAAGTGTTTCGGTATCTTGCTGGCTTCTCTTTCTTTCCCTTCATTCTCTCTCTTGGTCCCTATTCCTAATCCAAGTTGATGTTCCTCCTACCAATGCCCAAGATACAACCAAAATCTGCACTACAGCAAAAGTCACTGATGTACACTGAAAAGTGTCTCTGAACTCCAGGGTAAGGGGGTTAAGAAACACTTCCTGAATGCTTAAAGTAAAGGCTTCCTATAGGCGCACTCCAGGATCTGCTACTGGCAGCAGTAGATTCTGTGGGAAGGTGTGAAGTTAATCTTAAATCACACATTAACCTGAATGAATACACAGAATTATGGTCCAGTGTTTTCATATGCAAAGTACAGAGATAATGAAGGCCATTCCAGCAATGCACATAAAGCTAGTGCCCATTAGGTGTTTGTAAAAGCTGGGAATGTTGCTCAGTTGGTAGAACACTTGTCAGCCCTCTGTGCTGCATAAATGGATGACTGTAAACCCAGCACTCAAGAGATAGAAGCTAGGAAACTGGATGTTCAAGGCCATTCTCCACTGCACAGTAACCTCAAACTGAGCACTTACGGTCTGTCCACAAAGGCAGCACCTTGTATCACTGACGCCAGTGGCCTTTACAGAATTTACTGCCTACCATGCAAGGGGTTTGGAGCAGGTGTGTGGTTTGGGTTGCTATCTGCCACCTCTGAGTGATACTCTCTTATATGTAAAGCCATAACTACCTTTAAGACGCATAAATGTTTTTCATAGCAGCATTAATTAAGCATGAGTCAGTCAGTCTTGACTGAATAGAATGACAGACATAGTCAAGAAACAAGCCAGAATAAATAATAAAATCCATAATTCAGTGAACACTTTAACTCCATAGTATTCTTCAAAAGTCATCAGTATACAAAATAGGAGAAGTTCAAATGACACCAGCACTCTTTACTCTGTTACTAGCTCTAAGCTGGACTACTTGGGCTCTGTCCTTTCTAAATGAGGTCATCCAGGCTCTGGGCTGCAGCCCAGTGACAGAGCTCCTGTCTGGCATGCACAAGGCCTCCGGGTGGGATTCCTATCACTGGAGAAGAAATAACAACTAAACAAGCCCCAGGTTGGGCTGTTCTTGATTGTTCCCCTATCTGGCTCCTCCTATCACTTTTAAAAAGCTACCTTGAGTGCTAGAAATCTCTGGCTTCTAGGTGACCCCTCACAGGCTCTGTGACAGTCAAGTCACAGATTCCCATCCCTCCTCCCAACTCTAATCTCCTCAGGACCAAGGACAGGCCATAAAGGAGCAGTTACAAATCTCTATGAAGTACAACGAGTCACTTGCAGTAATAACACTGAGAATTTAAAGAACAGATCACTCTGACCATCTACCCCTCTAAAGTGTGACTTGACTCACTCAGTATTACAGAAGAGACTGGACAGGAATCCAGACCCCAAAGCTCTTGTTACAATATTCTCGCTTTCACAAATCCATACAGGATTCAGGGCAATCTCAGACACATGATTCAGTTCTCCCTCCACTTCTGCCCTGGTGAACTTTTCAGATAAAGAAGCTCTACAGTAAGGCACAAAAAGCCTTTCTCACGAGTGTATGACCCAGAGCAGAACTGGACAACATTCAGGAGGGGATATGCCCTTCCAACTATATGACAAGGATTTAATCTCCAGATGAGGTAGGAAAGAAGAAAAAGGGCCAGAATGACCCAGGGACCAGCAGTTAATATGCTTAGCCAACCCGCAAGCTAACATCACCTACCACTACAGTTTTATTATCCATGGTTTCACTCTCTTGCTTGCTGGATTTGGTTTTTGTTTCTGAAAAAGAGTCTCATTGTGTGGCTCAATGTGGCCTTTGACTCACTGACTAGCTCAGGCTGACCTCAAACTATCAACGGTACAATCATCTCTTTAGAGACTGCTTACAGCCATCCTCACAGCTGAGTTGGAAACCTGTGACAGAAACCTGAAAGACTTCAGTCTCAAATACCTAACTATCTAGCTTCTGAAAGAAAACAAAACAGTTGACCAGTTTTTGAGCAACAGTTGACCAGCAGTCGGTAGAAGGAGACCAATTACTTACTCTCTTAGACATCAGGGGGAAACCCAAGCTGGCCTACTACCAAAGCCCAGTGCCCTCAGTTTAGAAAGTCCAAGGGTAAGGGCAGACTGGCAGCATCTTCATTCCATCACAGCTTCATGATGAATAAGATATCTTCTGGCTGCGCAGACATTAGACTCAGGCCTTACTACCTTGAAAGAACCAATGGGTTGGGAGGATGGCCACCACCAGGACAGCCCCCAGAGCACATCTTCTCCACTGTTTCTCACTGCACCTAGACGTCTCTGAAGATCTCTGCCGGCTCTTGATCCCAGGATCCGAAAACAGAATACTCCCCTTGATTCTAATAGCAAATGCGCTCTGCACAAAGGCAGCCAGAGCCCGTTGTGAACTTTTAATGTCAGCACTGGCCAGTCACGGCCTATGAATCCCAGGGCCAGTCTCATCTAATAAGTAAATACTACGCTCGTCCCAGGCCTGGTCACAGGACTGAGTGAGATAGAGTTCAAATGTCTACTCTCTAACCTTTCTCCCTTTTGCAGCAATGGTATTTGTAGAGTAACACAAGACAGCCTTGTTAGGAAACTTTCCTTCATATTAGCTGAGGATTTAAGAACTTTTTCTGGACTCCTAGGAAAAACAAGCCTACTCTATCAGCGCAATAAAAATAAGCTCAAGTTTTTATTTGGCTTTTTTCCTCTCATATCATTTGGTTCTTTGAAGCTTCTCCCAAATTATAATCCAAAAATAAGAGTGCTATAATTTTTAGAAAAGTTATGTTTATGTAATTTTTATAGCTAGCCACCCCAAGAGTCAAGCTATAATATATTATATTCATGTTCAGTTATGAAGACACAGACTGTTTAAAAAATACCCAAACCAGAAAGTCTCAGTTTATTTAGTCTGGCTTGCTTAACATGAAGTTCTTCTTGTTCTTAAAATATTCAGCTTTGGCTGAATCCCAAAGCAGACATAAGCCTACTTCAGGTGTTTTGGAAGAGGCTGTAAGAGAATTAGATTGAAATATAAAACCTTGTGATCACAAATGTAAGAAGCTTACTGTAGTTGAAGACAAAAACCAGGTTTCCCACCACCAGGATTATAAAAATTAGCATGTCTATTTACTTGATCCTATTGGATTTCAGTAGCACATTGCCATTCCTAACATCTGGGAACAGATGGCTAACTGTTTCAGTCATTAGAACTCTCTAACAGTTTTTGAAATCTGAAATGGACTAAATGGAGACATCCCTCCTGCCGTGGATGACGTTAGCAATCACTTTAATGGTCAACCGAATCTGTCATTAAAATTGCATAGGAACACTTTAAACGATGCTAAATTATAATTTCTTCCACCCACCACAGTATCTGAGGTAATTTAAAAAAAAAAAAAAACTGGTTCTTTGGGCAAGATTCTAACAAAGATCACACACATTTGGTGTATCTCGAAGTACTTTTACTCTAGCATGTAATTATTCGGCCGTTCCAAGTGGTAAGAGGACGGGAAACTGAAGCCACCAAAACTTGAAGGTGAAATGAGTTGGGGGAGGTCCGGCCAGGCTTTGAAAACTCAAAGGAAACTCTGCACGCAGCTAGCTGCTTAGCATAAGGCGTTTCTGTACTCCCAAGACTGCACCGAGAACAGAACATCAGCTCAGAGGGCCACAGGTGTGTGCAAAAGGAAACCCTAACCATACACTAACTGAAGAGAAGTGATTAAAGCAATTATTCGCAATGGTGGGAGGAAGTGTTTTTCCAGCCTTGTACTTGGACCCAGGAGGCTTCGCTGCTGGATAGCGAATAAATCGGCGGATCCCCTTCACAAACAAGTCTCTGGCACCAGCACACCCTCTGCTAGGAGCAGCCGGCATGAATAGTCCTGCAACCCCTCTAGCCGCTCCCAAGGTGGGGCGTGATGTAAATAGGAAGCTTGCTTCCCGCCCACGAAAAACAAAACAAAAAATTCTCCCCCACGAAGCCAGCCAGGGGAAACCCGACGAGCAGAGCAAGGAGATGCCACTCACCCGCGTTGTAAAAACGGTCCAGCACCGTGGTTTCCCCAAAGTCCAGCTTCCCGAAATGCAGGGTCTCCAAGGTGGCGCCCACCGCCTCGCACGCCTCCCGCAGGCTCTGCAGGGCCTCGCTCTCCGCCACCACCAGCTGCCCCTGGCTCGCCTCGTTGATCACATACGCCACGGTGGTACGCCGTCCGCCCCCGCTGCCAGAGTTGCCCCGGCCCCGAGTGGCGCTGCTCCCGGGGGCGGTGGTAGGGCAGCTGGTGCCAGGAGCCGCCGAGCTCTCCACGTTCCAGAAACTGCCCGGCGGTGGTGGCGGCGGCGGCACAAGCAAGGGCTGCAGGCTCGGCTCGCCCTCCGCCGCCGCAGTCGCCGCTCCTACTCCCCTCCGGCAGCTGCCGCCCTCCGGGATGGTGCAAAAGCCCGTGGACGCAAAGGGCGGCACGGAGAAAGTGATGCCCTCGCCGGCTTCGGTGCCCATCTCTGCCTGCCGAGCTGCCACGGCGGCGACCCCGGGGTCCCCAGCCCAGACGCACCGTCTGGCCAGCCACAGCTCCGGGCTGCTCCTCGCACGCCGAGCTAGGCAGCTGCCATCGCGCGCCGCGCCTTCGCCGCCCCGCCGCCGCCTCCGCTCGGGCGCCCTGTCCCCCGGGGCCACGCCGCTGCCCGGCGGCGGCTCGCCCCTCCTCGGCGCCTCCGTGGCCACGCCGCTCGCCCGCTGCAGGGTGGAGAGTCCACGGGGTGGGGACGGACAGCGGCGAGCGGGAAGGGACAGAGCTTCCTCCTCTTGGCGGGCGGACCAGTCGGCGGCCAACCTGCGCAGCCGGCGGCTCAAGGGCGCCGCGCTGGGGGAGCCGCGAGCTGTCGCCTGCCGAGCGCGGGCCGGCCGAGGGCGCCCTCTGTGCCGCGCTACCTGGAGAACACCTTACGCGCGGTGGGCGGGCTGCCCCGAGCCGCGTCCCGGAACCGTGGTGGCCGCTCCCGAAAGGACCCGCCTCTCTGCTCCGCAGCAGCTCCCTTGCACCGACTCCGTCTCCTCCTCCTCCCTTCCCTTCCTCTTTCACCGGTTCGCCGCGCCCTCCGAGTCCCAGAGACCGTCTCGCAGCCGCCCGTCCTCTCGTTTACCCGCCTCTGGCCGCCCACTCGTTGCAGCACCGAGAGCCAGGACCCGCCCCTGGGGAGGGCGCTGCTGGGAAGCTGCAGCCTGGACCGAACCCACTGCTCCGAGACCTCAGAGAACCGGGAAAGAGGGCTCAAGCCCCGCGCGCCCCTCTGCGGGACGGCGCAAAAGAAGTCTGTAACCTGCACTGTCCGGGTCAGCCCGCCAGGCGTTTGCAGCGCTGGGCGCAGCCACTGTGCCTCGCTCGCTCGCACGGGTCCGCTCGTGGGCAGCGCGCACTCGGACCGCGTGTGGCTCGCTGGAAGCACCGTGGCGACAAGTGTGCCGACAAGCAGGAGGATCCAACAAGCGCCCTACAGCCCAGGCCTCAAGTGGAAAGTGATTTATAAGTGACAGGGGCGCTAAATTTAGAAGTGGTCGGCTAAATTTATCGTGGCAGCCGCTGGTACTTTTCATTGTAAAATTTCCAGTTGCTTACGCTGTTATCGTTAATGAGTAATTGATTGGTTCCAGTGCTGAATGATTTAATATTCTCAAATATTATCTTAAAAGTCACCCCTCTCTCAAAATGCCAGATACCTAAGATAGAAAATACATGAGAAAATTGTCATTCAGAGTTGAAAGAAGATGATCTATTTCACTTTCAAAAACTGAACCATGCACAAAAGAAATGGGTCGGTTGTCTGAGTGCAATCAAAAAACTCCCATTTATTTTGGGAAGCATAACCAGATGTGCACATTCCCAGAGAACTCTTCCAGAATGCTGTAGGTCATATCAGGAAAGCCAAGGCAAGCTGCAATATGTAAAGGATTTGGACTTCCTAACTTGAGGTTAGTAAGCCAAATTATAAGAGGCAAAATGCAAATTGGATGTCAAGCTCCCCAAAGCCTTACTTAACACAGCATTAAGTTAGGGGAACAGGACACATTCAGACCAGAGCAATGCCTATTTCTTAAATTGTTATAGCATTTTTATTGACATTTTCCAAATAATAACGTCCTTCTGGTGACTTTATTGTACTCCTCAAGCAAACTGAATGCCTGGGAGACTCATCTGTCACTCCAGTTCCTTACCAAGTTCATTTTCTACTGAATGGCTCAGTAACTTCCAGTTTATGAGAAGTAAGCACCCACCATTTAGATGAGTCTGGAGGAAAAAACCACCACCGAGGGTCAACAGAAGGACAGGTTCCCGCCCACCCCAGTGCAGCAGGAAAATTTTATACCTAGTAAAAGTGCAACTGAGTACTTAATACATTTAAGAGTAAGTATTTTATAACATAGGAATGAAAGTAACTTCAAGATTCAAAAATCTAAAAGAAATGAGATTGGAGAAATGGCTCAACTGTTTCTGAGCACTGACTGCTCTTCCAGAGTTCAATTCCCAGCAACCACATGGTGGCTCATAACCATTTGTGTAATAGGACCCTGTGCCCTCTTCTGGTGTGTCTGAAGAGAGCGACAGTGTGCTCACATACATAAACAAATCTTTTAAAAATCTAAAAGGAAAAAATTAAAAATTCAATAACCAAATCTTTCCATGGCATGTAGTATAGACAAATAAAATGTTATCTGATACCGATATATCACAATCATGAGTTTCTAAAAATATGAAAAAGATAAAAATTTTTCTTTTTTAAGATGTGTTTTATTTGTCTGCCTGGAAGCATTTGTGTGTGAGTGCAGGTGACCTCAAAGGGAAGTGGGTGTCAGTCCCCCGGAGCTGGAGTTACAGATGGTTGTGAACTGCTTGACGTAAGTACTGGGAACTAAATTCTGGTCATCTTCAAGGGTAGTATGTATGCTTAACTAATGAGCCATCTCTCCTGCCCATGAAAAATTCTTTAGAAAGAAACATAAAGCCAGGTCGTGAGAATATAAGTAACTCTTACCTGTATAAAAAGAAATTCTACTCTATCGATAATGAAATAAGTACAAATTAAAATTTATATTAATATAACCACATCCACTAAACTGTATTGACAAAATCCTGAAGTTTTCCAACACACTTTTTGAGACTGGATGTAAGAAAATAGACACTCTTATTTGTAGGCTTATATTTTTTTAAACCTACTTTAATACGTGTTCTTAAACACTTGAGCCTCCCCTACAGCCCACGAATCAAAGGTAGGGGAGGAAGATGGCTAATAGGACAAGAGGGCCGTGGACTAGAAGTAGTTCTTTGGGGCGTTTCCACTCCTTGTTATCATCAGTGCAGTCCACTCAAATCAGCAGCAGTGTCTTGATCCAGAAGAAACCGAGGGGCTCCACCAGTGGACATGAGTCTGCGGAAGTAGCAAGAAGCAGCTTGAACACCTCCAGAAGTTCTTTGGTGCACTTCTCTCTACAAAGTCACCACAAGGGAAGAGCTGTGAAGAAATCCAGGTGAACCAATGTCAGATCAGCATCAGCATCAGCGAAGCCCAGTCAATGCCAGAGCATCATCCACTGTCCATCTGATGGGTTATACTTACACTCTTTCCAAACATCACATGTCCTCTCAAGCCAAGCATCTGCTCCAGCAAAACAGAGCATGCCCTTTCACCAGACAACTTCCAGGAAAACACCGCATGTCTGTTCTCAGCAAGACATCCTCTCCAAAGACAGCTTCCAGAAAAACATAACATGACACAACCGAGTCTCCAATGAAACCAGAAAATCTCACTTCACTCATTTCTGATGGAATGGGAAATAATGAAAACCATGGGTGTGTTGGCACATGCTTGTAATCCCAGCACTTGGGAAGCTGAGCAAAAAGATCACAAATTTGAAGCCAGCCTAGGCCACCTAGCAAGAACTTGTCCTAACAAAACATACATACATACATACATACGTACATACATACATACATACATCTGTAAAGAGAAATTGTTAATATCTAGCAAAATGGGACTTGAGAAATGGCTCAGCGGTTAAGAATACTGACTGCTCTTCCAGAGGTCCTGAGTTCAATTTCCAGCAACCACATGGTGGCTCACGACCATGTATAATGGGAACTGATGCCCTCTTCTGGTGTGTCTGAAGACAGCTATAGTGTACTCATATACATAATAAATAAATCTTTAAAATATCTAGCAAAATACATATACATTTATCCTTATAAAATTGTATCTCAGGAGCTGAGGACACACAAGCACCAGAACCTGAGTTAAGAGCCTGTCTCCTACCCCAGCACTTGAAAAGTCAGGCACAGTTTGTAACTGCAGTGGTGGCACTGGGATCCAGGAGAGGGCAGACTGGTGGATCACTGAAGCATATTGGCTGGCCACACACGCGCGCACATGCACACACATGCACACGCACACACACACACACACACACACACACACACACACACACACACACACAGAGAGAGAGAGTTTTTCAAATGAGTAGAAACCAAAGCTGCATCGCACTTCCGTAAGCAAATGACAGCATATTGTCTACATTTTGTTCTTTTGAAATATCGTTTTAATTCCTTGAGAATTTCACACAAGATTTTCGATTGTATTCATCCCCCCCCCCTTTTTTTTTTACTGTATCATCAGTGAAGGACAAGGGGAAAAGGGAGAATGAAAGAGATGCTCCTTCTGATAAGAAGGAATTTCTAGATAATGAATGATACCACAAACAGAGGCCAGCGGTCCTTTGGGTGAGCACAGAATGATTAGAATTCCTCTAGGCTGAGGCAGTCAGATTCCAAGAGCAGGAAATGGAGAAGAATTTCAGGAATGTGTGTACAGGAGTCTTTAACTCTTTTGTTGAATGCTACTCAGCACACCTATAGGACAAAAAAGCTAGCTGCTTCTGGGCATGGCATTAAGTATCAAAGAGGTCTAAAATGGATACTTTCCTCAGCTAACACTGAGCCAGGGATAACTAATGCTCCACCCCACCCTTCCTTAGTCAGGGATAATTAATGTTTCACCCCACCCTGCCTTAGCCAGGGTAGAGACCTCACAGAATACGTGGAACATTTGGAAGAGACCCCAAAAATACCACACCTGAAACCAGATCATTCTAAAGGATATTCTAGGTATGGGTTAGATTAGCTTAAAAACCAGAAAGTTCATCCATAAATAACTATTTGCTTATCAGGGAATCTAAAATTTTTAAAAAGCTGTAACAAGAGTATTCAGTGGGTAACACACACATGACATATACCAAATCTTACCGAACAAGAACAAAAAAAAAAAAATCATGACCCTTAATAAAGAGAAAAGCTAGTAAAATACAGTCACAGAAATGGCCAGATGATGCAGTGAAGACTTTAGTACAGTTATTAGTTATCGAAAATGTAGAATGCAAATGAGCACATGAGCATATTGAAAAACAAGACGAAGCAGAAGCAAGTGGGATGGTGTGGAAAGAGTGTCTAAAATGTTTGTTTTTTTGAG